TAAGAAACAACATCTAAAGCATCCGGAATGTTCCGGATTTTGTTCAAGAATTTCCATGCCTCTTCAAGATTTTCACCATAACAAAGTGCTCTTAGTAGGCTTCCGTATGTATAAGAACTCGGGTGTTGACCGATATTGACCATTTCTTCAAAAAAGGTCAATGCTTTTGATCCATTTCCTATGCTTACATAGCCGTTTATGATGAAGTTATAAGTTGAGGTGTTTGGGGAAATACCGATTCTACCCATGTGCTTCATAAACTCCACTCCCTCTTCCATTCTTTTACTTTTACAAAACGAAGCAATTAATTTGTTACACATGAAAAGATCTGGATCATGTCCACTTCGATTCATTATACCATAAATTCGCATTGCTTCATTTACTTTTCCATGGATGCAAAAATTATAAACCAATGTTGAATACATCACTTTGTTTGGTGTCACACCGGATTTATACATTTTACACATTATCTCTTTTCCATTTTTGAACTTCCCCTCTCTACAAAATCCATTTATAAGTGACGAATACATAACAACATCAAGATCAACACCATTTTGGATCAATCGATCAAGAACTTCCACACCTTGTTTAAACATCTTACTTCTGCTAAACCCGTTGATTAACATTGTATATGACACATGGTCAACAAGAATTCCGTTGACTTTCATGGATTCTATAAGACTTTGAGCGGAATCTAAATCTCCAAGTTTGCAGTATCCATCCAAAACAACACCATAACTAAATTCATTAGGCTTTAATCCCCTTGCTTCCATTTTGTATATACATTCTATAGCTTCTTTGAAACTACCCTCCTTACAATACCCATCAATCAAAGTATTATAAGTTATAACATTTGGGGAAACCCTAAAGTTCATCATCTCATTGAAAACATGAACTGCAACCTTGGTTTTTGATTCTTTGATAAACCCCTTTATGAGAGTATTATAAGTGACTTCATTTGGGGAAACCATCTTTTTTCTCATCTTTTTTAACAATAAATACCCTTTTGCACTCCTATTGTTTTGACATAAGTTATCTATAAGCATGTTATATGTGCATACATCCGCTTCAAGACCTTTATTACTCATGTGATCAATCAACTCCAAAGTTGCCTTGTATCTTCCCTTTTTGAAATACCAATTAAGCAAAGTATTGTAGGTAACTAAATTTGGAACATAACCACTCTCTTCCATTTTCAAAACAAGATGTTCGGCTTTCTTGATTTTCCCATTGAAACAAAGAATATTCAAGAGTATATTAAAAGTTGCAACATTTGGGCATACATTTTTTGAAAGCATTTCCTTGAAAAATAACCAAGATGCCTCGTTGTCCTTCCTCATTGAACCTAAAATCTTGTTGCAAGTAAAAACAGATGGGGTAAACCCCCGAAGCCCCATCAAATGAAAAATTACCAATGCGTCCTTGACCAAAGATTCTTGCAAGTAAACTCGAATCAAAAGGTCAAAAACAGCAGGATTTGAGTTGCAAAGAGGGTAAGTGTCCATCAAAGCAGCAAAAATGGAGTTTGAATCGATACCCATGTCAGATAATTGTGTCAAAATTGATTTAGCAGAGGCATACATTCTTGCTTTGACTAGTATATGAACAGTTATACAGTAAACATACGTGAGATTCTTGAGTTGTTGAAAAGCAGGTTGTTTGATTACCCAATTGAGAAATTTCAAAGCTAGGTTTCCATGAACTGGCCTCAGGGAAACCCGTTTATAGTTCATTTGATTTAGAGACTCCCATCTGCTAATTGTCAGAATTGCATAGATGCTGTTCTCCAGTTCAAAACCTAAATTAGTTTCACCCAATTAAAGAAACTCATAAGCAATTTATCAAAGAAAAACTAGAAAATGTGAAGATTTTATAGCAAAAAGGAGATAGAATTTTACCAGAGTTCTTCTGGTTCGTCGAAGCTTTGGTTTGATTACCATCTTTGAGTGACCTTTTTGAATTTTTGAAAAACCCCATTTGCGAGAAGTGCCTAAATGTTGTCAGTTTATTTGAGAAGTTGGCGATTTTCGAAGCGCATAACATACTTGGTGTTTCTTCAAAAGGAATCAATTATCATGTTTCATTTCGGGTGTGTATGGATGTCATTCTGCAGTCTGAAGCTGAAATAATCAAATGTTCAGCTAATCTTCAACGAATTAATCGAAAAATGACCCAAAATGATCACTTTCTCGTTTGTACGATCTTGTAGAATCACGCATTAAGAGCAGACTACCACTAATTACATTAACTAACTCAAGGGTTGATTGCTTGAAGTTCAGCAAGACCAACGCCCGATTACTTAAAGCTCACACGGAAAAGAAGAAACCAGTAAGAAGAAGGTCGTAAAGAAATCAAACCTGATGATGAAGACGACGAGAGTTCCATCATGGAAGATCACCTGTTGGTGCGCTTGGAAGGAGATATGGCGGAAGTGAGGGGTCTATGTGTGGCAACAAACAGGGAAACGGTCTTCAAAATAGGTAGGGGAGGGCATATTGGCGGTGTTTTTTCCCGTATATAAAATAACAATGTAAAATAAGTTAAGATGATTAGCTCTCTCATTTGTTGAATTGTTGGTAGAAAATAACATTGTCATTTTAACAAAGAAAGTTTGGGTTTTTTACTAAGATTCAAAGCAAACTTAGAGAGCGGGTGAGCAAGTACTATGATCCCAATTTATAAGAAGAAAGGTAGGAAGCTCCTTAAGCATATCATGAAACTATGTGAGAGAGCATTGGAGGTTGGGTTGCATACTTGCCTAGCATCACCACTATTTCAGATAACTAATATGGTTTCATAGGTTATCCACCTTTCAGACAACTTATAGAGAAATATAGTAAAAAATAAGGATCTGCATATGGTGTTTTAAAGCTAGAAGGGTCGGTAGGAGATATATGTATGTCTTGGCTATATATATATATATATATATATATATATATATATATATATATATATATATATATATATATATATATATATATATATATATATATATATATATATATATGGGCTATGACTTGCATTCGAGCCCCTTGTTGAAGACACAATGTCGTTTATGGATGAAATCGGGCTCCATCAGGGTTCGACTTTCATTCGTATATTTTTGCCTTGAACTTGGACGCGTTATCTTTAGAGATACAAGAGGAAGTGCCTTGGTGTTTCTTTTTGCAAATCACATTGTGTTGGTGATTAAGTCTAGGATTGGACTGAGTGATTGATTGGAAACATAGATGTCGACATTATAAGTCAAAGGGTTACAAATCAATAATATTAAAACAAAGTATCTTTAATGCAATTTCACTGAGAAGATAAATGATGAAATAGTAGATGTAAATACAACGGAACAAGCTCTTACATCGAATGAGAGCTTCAAGTATTTGTGGTCTATGATCCATAAGGGAATGGTGGAGACAGACGTTACCGATCGCATAAAGGGGGTTTGGTTAAAGTGGATGGTGGTCTTATGAGTCTTGGGTGTCAGGAAGGTCCCCGTTGAAATTCAAGGATAAATTTTTCATGGTAGTTGTTAGGATTACCATGATGTATGGATGAGGCGGACTTGCGGTGAAATATTATTTGATAGGATACTAAATGCGGCTATTAGAAATTCATTAGGAATAGCATGGATCACTTGATAAATTAAGAAAAAAACGATTGTGGTGGTATGAAGATATTCTAAGGAGGAAACCTTTGGCGATGGTAAGGAGGTAGATTCAATGATGATTGATGGTAAAAAGTAGAAAATGATGTCCCCGAAGAAAAGTAAGATGATAGTATGAGGTTACACATTGATAAGCTTACTCTTTTTTTATGGTATGAGGTTACATATGGATAAGTTTACTCTTTCTGGGGACGTAGTCTTATGTAGAGGGTGTGAAGGCTAAGCATAGAGTTGATGAGCAGCATGATTTTTTTTTTTTAAAGTGAGTCTATATTCGATAAAGCGTATTTAAAGCAGGGGCGTAGCTAAGCATTCACAAGGTAGGTCCTAGGACCTACCTTGTTTTTTCAATACAACAAATATATATAGAAAAAATTTAGGACCTACCTTATTTTTGCTAAAAGACCTAAACTTTCATATTTTTTTCAGTTTCATTTAAATAAGAAACCACGTTGTTTTTTGTTATAGATTCGTCATTGATTTAAAGTTCAGTCCAAATCAAATATACTAGTTGAAACCGGTGAGCATTACATTTAAACATAATATTATAACATCAAAAGATATTCAAAATAAATATTTTTAAAGCAAATATTATGTACAACTTTTACATCATCTTATGAAAAATGAGGTAGCTCGACCTCAGAGATTAAGCAAAAAGTTGTTTGTCTGCTATTTGCAAGCCAAGTTTAGCTCATTTGATTTGGTTTGAATTTTCGGGCTTTTCAATCTAAAGCGAATATCAAACACCCATAATCATTTCATCCACGAGTATTAAAGGCATTCACAACATATTGAATTTTTAATAGATTGACACATCAACATTTCATTTTCCATGCAATTTTATCATTTTTTTCCCACAAACATACTCTCATTTTCTATACAAGTTTATCATTTTATTTCCACAAACATACTTTTAAACTCTACAAAGGTAAGTGACATACTTTTACAGTAAAAAGTTTGTTTTTTTATCACATTCACTTCACTTACCATTTAACTCCAAATTTATTGAATGGCACCTTGTTTACGATTGAATTGAATCCATTGAATATCAACTAAGTATTTCACACATCGTGGAGGCTAAAAGTTTCATTTGGATTATTTATTTTAAAAAGGTATAACAGTTGCTTATTTACCCAGTTTTCTATTCGTTACCAATTCATACAAACATTTTTCCATTTTGTTACCATTTTTCACATATATATATATATATATATATATATATATATATATATATATATATATATAAATTGATAGTTTTCATAATAAACTGAAACATGACTACATAAATCGATAATAAATACTCCAACACACACTTATTGATTTCTATATCAAGACTAATCACAGGTTTTCCAAAAAAAAAAAAAACAGACAAATCCTCCTCCCTCTTCAAGTCCTCCAAATCATAACATTTAAAAATGACATACAAAAATCATATCGTATATAATAATAACTTAAAAATAACAACCGATTAACCGACAAATTTTCTAGCAACATAACCTTCTTCCTTCGTATAGTCTCCATCAGTTGATTTAACAATTAAAAAAAAATTTAAAATATTCCTTTCCTTTCTATATGATACTCCTGAAAAAACCTTACACCTTCTCATCTGTCTCGGAAGTTTCTAGAAGGGAGTCCTTTTTGGGCTGACTTGTTTTCGGAAGGGAATAGCTACGCCTCTCTTTGCCACCTGGCTTTGATGACGCGTTCCCATACCAAATCATTCCCATGATTGCTATTATCATTCCAATTACCACGTGAAGGTTTAAACCCTCACGCCCAAAGAAGATAAAACCCAACATCAGTACCAGGATTGTTTTCATGTGACCTAGGACTTGGAATGTGACGGCTGTAAACCTCCCGATGCATATAAATTGGCTTAGATTTGTCCCAATTGCAATCGTACACGATAGAATTAAAAATATCTGCAAATACCATATCATTATTATTAGACTAATTTTTATAAACAACTAAAAAAGCTCAATTGTAGTGTACTAATACTTACCAGAGATACTGTATTATACTTAAAAGCATCCACTCTTTTGTTGGTCAACCAGTAGTCAACAAAGGGGCCCACTAACAGTAGGGATCCAGCCTGGATTGGGGCAGTATGTCCTAACAGATTGAAGGAACTCAACTGGTACTTCCTTTGAAGGTAATGCACATACTGTAAAAAATATATATATAAATATGAGAATAAAATAGTATGTCATAAATTTGGGGGAAAGAAAGAGTTAAATTTACATACATATTGTTGGAGAGCTGTACTCCATACTGCAACAAAGGCAGCAACAAAACCTTTAGTATTAACACTGACATCAGTAACAGTGCATACAGCAACACCCAGAAGAACAATTAAAATACTGAGCTTTGTGTCCCTTGAATATCGTATCTTATCAAATGCAACTTCCAATAAACAGGATACAGGAATCATACTCAGTTTTGCTATCTGAAAATCAATACCTTAACATAAGTATCATAAAGGAAACGTCTTTAAAAAAAAAAAAAAAAAAAGGAGTATAAAGTATAAAGTATAAAGCTTACCTGGTAGAATCCCACAGAGTTCCACATAAGACTGACATTCATTCCAACAATGGAGAAGTTAGCAAATAGGACGAATTTGAGAAGATCTGCAATGGGTAGATGAGAGGGTTGGATGTAACCCAACCACCTAAGAACAATAGTCATCAAGGTTGTGGTGACAAAATGCAATCCTGTTAATGTTGTTGCTGCACATAAAGGAAATTATTGGATATCAGGAAATAAGAAATTTATAAATATAATTAACAAAAGAAAATATATAAATAGAGAACTTACCAAATGTGAAACCATATGTTGCCATTAAAGCTTTGTTCACGATGATGATCCCAACAGAAGTGACTATGTTGAATGTCCATGCAGCAATATCAACTGCTGCCTTTTTATCAGCTTTACTTGATGGAGTCATTTTTTTGACTAGAGGTAGATATTTTTCAACAGAAGAAGTTTTATTTTTACGGTTTTACCCCTTGTATGCGAAAAGTAGATTTCTGCAATTCCACATTACCCAAGGAAGATCTTCTGTTTTGTCACTGTTGTTTTTATGAAATAGATATAACAGTTAAGAATAAGGTATATGGAATAATAGCAAGCATTCTTTGAGATATTTCAAAGAAAGATATCAAGGGAAAACTAATGCAGTAACAAAGAAAAAGGATTCTAGAAATTCGAAACTTGTTATTCAAAATCTATGAATTTTAGTGGGGTTGCAGAGGGGTTTTTAACTTTTGGATCATGGATAGGAAATAAGTTCATGGATCTAATTATCTAAAGATAACAGGTTTAGGTACAAAAGTTGCAAAACACAGTTCACAGATTTGATATTGTTCAAGGTTTACTCTTGGAAGTTGCAAGAACCTCACCACTGTAGATCACAACTCTAATTCCTCAATTTACTACCAACCCTCCTTGAATGATCATGTGAACAGTTAGAATTCACAGATTTGATCCTCTGAACTTAATTAATTAGCAACACCAAATTACTAGAGTAACGTGAATCAATCAAAATCGAAACGTGATCCATAAATTAAATCAGATCGAGAACATGAATGTTTGTGCCACCAGATGTAGAAACTGCCAAAGTAGTCAAACTCTACACGTCAACTTTTGCATCCGATTAACTTCCACAAAATTGATGTACACAAATCCCTAGGTTGATAATGCGTACAGATAACTCCTCTGCTAGAATCTCACCATCATGATTAAACTCTATCTACATCACAACTCAACTACCCAACTCGATACCAATCTTCACACCACTCTCCTAAATTCACGAGGAATATTCAAAACTTCACGTATTCGATCCGTTATAACTTGATTATTTGTACAATTATCAACAGAAAAACATCAAAACAATTCAAATAATCAAAATCAAAATGCAGATCCATAAATTAATCAGATCAGGAACAGTATATAAGCACTCAAAATTGAAAGCAATTAGCACATAATGTCATCAATAGTCTGAATTTTAGCAACAGGATTAGATCGCGACGAACTCCGCAATTTCTCAAGTAATTTCAGATCTAAAATCGTCAATTTATATCTAAACTTTTCATAACTCCAGACAGTTTTTCACCAATCAAGTCGTGTAAACATACCTTGAGAAATCGAAGTGAACGAATTCAGATCTTTAGGATCAAATCACAGAGCTCGCTCCCACACACAGTTGAAGGTGTTATGTGTGTGTGTTTGAGCATATGAGGAGAAGGACTTTGACTGAAATAAACCCCACAGACCCGAAGAAGTTCGAAGGATTTGCACGTTCGATCAGGTACTTATTTCCAAATTTCCATTCTGTTTTATAACCTTTCTTATTAATTAAAATTAATAAATATATAGATATGTAGAGAGATATAATAAGTTATATTTTATTATAACTGAAATTTATTATTACGTGAATTTTAAAAAATCCTTTAACTATTTTCTAAGACATGTCTTTTAAATTCATCTACAATTCATATTGCATGTTCTACGTCTTTTGAGAAAACAGTTTATGACTATTGATTTGTTTTAAAATACATATACATACATTTATCCATACATACACATAAAGTGGTGATGGGGCGAAAAACAAACCGTATGTTTAAAACTAAAATAAACACTAAAATTCCTCCAAAATATATCAAAAATCAATATCATAAAATAAAAACAACATTTTAAAATAAAATATGATATTTTCATTTGTGTTTATTATTCATCCACTTAAAATAAAGATGTTTGATTTTTATATCCTTTGTTTTAACTAAAAATAAAAAATCATGATAAAGATATAAAATCAATCGTTTTTATTTTAAATGGATGAATAAAAAACACAAATGAAAATATTGCTTAAAAACGTTATTTCATGAAAATTAAGTAATGGCCACATATATTGCATGTCTAAATACAAAAAACATGTATAAATCATTCGAAATATATGTCTTAAATATTATTTGAATTATCTAATAACTCACATCTTCATTAAAATGTTTAATTTTTAGAACTTACATACCATTACACACACACCAAACATCCTAATTCTTTTTATTTTGCACATTTTACTTTTCACAAGAACCACAAATATAATTGAAATATGGGTTTTTAAGCGATTATATTTTTTAATACATATGTTGTACTTTAGTTAGGATATCAAATATTATGTACTTGGTTTGGGATGCAAAATCATTTAATGTAAAATGCCATACCAATTGACTTACATTATAAAAGGGGAAGAGTATTATCAAAGTAAAATTCGAGTAATAGGAAATCTACAAAATTATGAATAACTTTAGAGTTTGGAAAAGTTAGGTTTAAAGATATAAGTCTTTGACTTTGAGTTTGGAAGAAAGTACGTGGTATACCAATTGAGAGTATGAATTGAGTGTGGTAATAACAAAGTCCAATCAAGAGCATTTTTAAACATGAATCAACTCAAAAAGCGGATCTTGACAATTTTATAATCTCAGTATTGAATGGTTTAGGCCAAAACCACAATGGTGATTATATTTCAACGGTCATCTCTCTCTCTCTCTCTCTCTCTCTCTCTCTCTCTCTCTCTCTCTCTCTCTCTCTCTCTCTCTCTCTCTCGGGTCCAACATGGCTGACAGCTTAAGCCTCGAAATTTTAGAGACCCATAATTATTTTTATGTATCTAACGGAAAAAACCTCAAAAAATTTAAACACTCAGTAATTATTTTTATATATCTAACGGATTAAGCCTCAAAGTTTTTAGAGACCCATAATTATCTCTTATTATAACTCCAAAAAAATATAACAAAACAATGTCATCAAAAAATGTTTGCTTTTCTAAGAGTCATTCCAAAAATAAAGATGTGATTCGTGCTCTCAACTTCCTCTTCGCAAAGGCATAGAGCGGTCTTCAGTCTATACATTTTCCATCGGGTTTTCTTGTGTGGGAATTCAAGCGGCCTCCAATCTATACATTTTCCATCGGGTTTTCTCGTGTGAGAATTCGATTAAATGTCACACGCCAAAGCAAGATATTTAAAGTTGTTCTATCAAGTCAATATCTCATATAACCAAGCATACTGATATCTAAAAAAATGGAGAAGAAGCAACTAAGAACTCGTTATTAGCATCCAATGACCAATCTAGTCTATCTTTCTAATCCAAAACTACAAAATTTTGAATCATAGTACTCAAATTAGCCCATTTCTCAACTCCCCTTGGCCTCTTACTTAGAAACCTAAACCACTTGTCTACTTTTAGCCATTCCTACATGAAATAATTTTCATGGTCTTTGAAGAAAAGAAAAAATAGATGCATTAAGGTGAATCCATGGATAACATTTGGTGTTTGGGTGGTGGAATGTATACTCCATGAGTTCGGTCTTAGGTCTTGGATAGTAGATGGTTCGTTTTTCTTTTATGGATAATCCATTTTTAACCCTTCTAGCCATTAATTGGACGACGAAACCAATGCACTTCTTCGTTGTCGCCGCCCAAACCATAGTTTTCATCTTCTCTCTACTCCATCAGACAGGAGTGGTTTCACTATAGATTACTTTTTTCCAGTTACCTTAGCCTCACGTTATTTACACTCATTTTCCATCACTTCCTCTTTCACTTGGGAAAACAACCATCTAAGGTGTTGTTTGTTTTTTTTCTGCAGATCTTTTTCGCATCTTCTGTTTGTGTCGTGCAGACCATGCGCAGACATTAGCCTTCGCAGACTGTTTGTTTTTTTGAAGACTACAGACCTAAAAATGTTTGTGTGCCCTCTTCTTGGCGCAGATGTGGACCAGTCTTCTAACATCTTCAGATATCTTCTAGCCTAAAAAAATATATATCTTTATTTTGTTTTAGTTTTTTTTTTAAATTATATTTATTCCAACTTTATTAATAATAAAGAATTTGAAAAAAAAAAAGATTACAAGACTTAAAAAAAATGTTCGACGACACAAACATAACATTTTTGACAAATTTATAAATAAAGATTTATTACAATAATGGTTGTTGAAATTGTTTATATAAATATGAAAAAAAAAATCATAATATATTCTTATATTATGTGTGCCAAATTTTATAAAACATTATTTAATATAGTATCGTTAATTTCTTGGAAAAATATTTATAGTACGTTTTTAATTGATTTAAATGAAAAAATTGAAGTTTATTTTCATCTATTTATGTGTCGAATTCTTTGATTTTTAATTACAATGTTTAGGTATAACTTTGCGACCAAAATTGTTGGTTTTTATCAAATATATACGTTAATTTGTACCATTTTATTTTTCACTTTTTATACAATAATACATAAATTTTGATGTAGATTTGTTAATTACTTATAACAAAGTCATACAAATATTAAAAAATCACTTTGAAATTAAAAAAAATCAGTATATTTAGATTTTAGTTTATTTTTATAGTTTGCAGACGTTAAAAAAACAGACGGTCTTCTTTTTTCAGGCTGCAGATGTTTGGTGCACATTTTCTACTGCAGATGTCTACAGATATGATCCACAAACCGCAAATATTTTGCCCAAAAACACCTAACCTTTTCACTTTTTTATGCTAAAGGCTCTTGTATCAACCTTTCACGCCCCATCATTTCCCTGTTCAACCTTTTCTTTCAAGAAAATACCCACCTTTCAACCATGGTCTAACTTTTCACCAAATTTTATTATTTCTCAATTCAAATAATATTTAATATTCCAAAAAACATTTAAACTAAAAATAAAAAAAATGCAAATAATACATAAATAATTTCATTAGACTAAAAACCATAAACTCAACTAAAAACAACATAGAATTACATCCCACTATCACGATACTTTTTCTCTATCTCCGCTTGCATCGCTAGAATCGTGTCACGAGCCGTTTCCGTTAAATGCTCAGTGTTGGTGGTTAATATTTTCAAATCCCGTTCTTTTTCACGTTCTTGTACTCTTGACCAAAACTTTTCTTTCTCAAACTGCAAGTGTTCATCATAAGTAGAATTAAACTTCTTTATACTATCAACTAATTCTTCAATCTTTTCATCTTGTGGGCCCAAATTTTGTAACAATGAAGCCGCTTTTTTTGCTTTATCCCTTTCAAATTCTTCAACCTTCAATGATGATGTATGATCGTTTGAGTCAGATGTCTTGCTTCGTTTCAAACTCTATTTTGCATAAAGAATTGTAAGTACATATTGATATTTAAACAAATAAATAATTATCATCAATTGAACATAAGTACATAACTTACATTGATTTCTCGACTCATATCCCTTCTCAATGGTCTCATGGCACATTTCCTTATGTCTCCTCCAGTATCCAAACAACACAAAGCATCCAATTTTGAGAAAAATATGTATCCACTCAAAGGGTCTGCGTATAACTGCATGGAGAATTAATTAATTAATTATAAAACATTGTATTATGATTTATATGTTATAATGAGTTTTTAGATAAGAAAAAATAAAATACCGAATTTTTTTTCTTCTCGGATCCATGTTGTGTCACTCTGATTTCTTTTATCCATCCTGGAGGCAACCCATCTGCAGGAGTTCTTGAGATAACCTAGATTTTGGTCAAAAAGTCAAATGGGTGATGATATAAATTTGAGAAATGTAATATATGAAATCTTGGAGGGTTAAAGTGGAACAAACTTCATAGTCGGGGGACTTGCGGGTGCTTTCTGTAATTGCTGAACTCGCTTTGGTTTCATTCGTCTTCTTGGCTTCAGTGGGTTCAGTAATCTGGGACTCCTCAGGTTTAATAGGGGTTTTATCACCCTATAAAGTCATAATGTAACAGAAGATTATGATGCTATAATTTCAAGAACTGAACTTATAAATGACAAAAAGAAGAATATGAAAGTTGATACTAGTGGCTGATGCATACTTCTTTCTGTTCAGCTGGACTGCTGTTTGTATTGGCCTTATTAGCAAGATATTTCAGAATCTGTTGCTTTGTAAAGAATTTATGTCCATTGATGGGATCCATGAAAACCTATAACAATAGCAAAACAAGAAATGTGAATAAAAATGGTAGGCAATGTTATGTTATGCTACTCAAAGATAATCCATTTACCTTATATTCTTTTCCACAACTTCTATACTTCACTTCCACATTCCATCCATCAGGTAGCCAATTAGAATCTTCGCTTTTTCTTCTTCTTCCACGTTTAGGCTTAGAAGCTAAAAGCCCTTCAGTTTCCTGTATCACCAGGCATTATGTAAAGACTTTTTTTGTTGATTCAGGATCCTCATTTGTATGGGGAAGAACATCTGGCTCTAGAGATAAGTCTAAAGTTGAGGCATCGGCATTGTTCTAAAAGAAAACAGGACTCTGTAAGAATGCTAGGAATTAAAGGGAAAAATATCAACAGAAGGTATCATTACAGTCACTACTATGCTGTTTCTGATGGCGTTAAGATGCCGTTCCACTTGCGGCTTCGAATAGAACTTGTGTCCTTCAGGATCAATGTAACACTGCAACAGCAATCAGGCATAAAATTATCGCACAAATAACTCTAACTCTGGGGGTGTATCAGTTATCAAAAACCTCTCATAAAGCAAACATTGATGTCAATTTTTTTTCGCATACAGAAATCAAACTGCATCTCGTAATCGTAAAGGAGAGAGGAACGCAAAATTAACTCAACACAATTCGCGTGCAGGTATGTTCTTAGCTACATGTTCAAAACTAAACCAAAAATGTAGACAAAAAACTCAAATTCTGTAGAAACTGAAGCGAGAAAAAAAAAAACCCTAAGTTAGAGGAAGTCGAGATGGAAGAGTGAGAATCGCAAGTACCTTGACCTTCCGTCCAGCGATCTTTCTGATTTGTATCGTCCATCCCGATGGAAGCCACTCCGGCCAGTCATCATCAACCATTTCCGGTGTCTCAGACAAGTAAGGTTTTCTGTGACTGTGTATAGAGAGAGTTTCGAAGTGAGAGAGAGAGAGAGAGAGAGAGGAGGGAAAAGTACGGTTAAGGGAAAATTACTTGTACCAAAGTTTCAAAATCATACAAGAAAAAACACTATTTAACTGGTGGTGTCAGACCCGTCCGGTGGCCGGGTCGACCGGTGTAAAAATATCATTATACTCTTGACAATTTTTCTTTTGTCCGATCAGCTTTAAACGAAGTTTTTCTGCCCGTCGGGTGGCCGGATCGACCGATGTAAAAATGACCGTTATACCCTTGACAATTTTTCTTTTATCCAATTAGCTTTAAACGAAGTTTTTCTGCCAACTTCAAATGACCACTTTGACTTTACTTTCTTATCTTCATGAAGATCCTATTATACAAAATACAATTTTCTTTTGAAATATGGCTCCTAATCCGTGAGAACAGAAAATTAAGTAGCTAGTATTGGTTAATAAGAATTAGTATGTTGTTATTATTGGTTAAAAGATATGTATGTTGTTATTATTGGTGAAAATAATAAGTACGTTGCTATTATTGGCTAAAAAGATAAATGAATTGCTATTAATAGATTAAAATTAATATGTTGCTATTATTGGTTAAAAAGATAAGTGCATTGCTATTTATGGTTAAAAGATAAGTATGTTGCTATTATTGGTTAAAAAGATATGTGTATCGCTATTATTGGTTAAAAAGATATGTGTATTGCTATTATTGGTTAAAAAATAAGTATGTAGCTTTTAATTGGTTGAAAAGATAAATGTGGTTAAAGATTTTTTACCAATAAAGCAGTGATTTACATGGTATAACTTGATGAACTTGTAAAACGAATCTTTTTTTACAGCTATTTAAGTAAAAAAAAATTTATGACCAAAATCGCTCGGATAGCAAATACAGTATGTTCCACAAGGATTTGTACGCAATAATCTACATGTAAATATGATTGGTAACAACATCAATGCTAGAAAATTGGATATAGAGCTTATATCCCCACCATGCTCAAACGATCAAATCTTATACTACCAACGATCAAATCTAATGAGCTATATTAATCGACTCTTAACTTAATACCCTACAAGCCAAAGCCGATCGTCCCTCAGGTCTATTTACTATATATATATATATATATATATATATATATATATATATATATATATATATATATATATATATATGTTATTACATATTTTTATATTTCCGTATCCGTATCTTGAATTTTTGAGTTTTTTCGTTTCCTGTTTCCGTTCCGTATCTGTTTCCGTGCAACTTAGGCGATTTTCCATCCCAATTCTTACAAAACAGAAGTCGTAATTAGGAGACAGTGTCATGGAATCAGGATAGTAGCAGGACATCACCATTTCCATAATCACCCTTTGAGTTTTTATTGGTAGCCTTTTCCTCTCGCTTATACCCTTTTACTTCCATTTCTGTATTTGGTGGTTCAGTGGTTGGTCATGCACACAGAAAAAACATATATCATTCAGTAAGAATAGAAATTCAAAACCTAAACCCCTTCAAATTCCTTTTATCACCATATAAACCAATAGAAGTACCAAATTACACGAACATGTATACTTCCCACTTAAGTTGGTACTTGGTCACGTTTTGCTTGTTTCCCCAACAACAACAGACGTAGGGAAAGTATGAAGATGTGTATTTTTATGGATTTTTGAAACCCTGCAAGAATAATACATTCATATGAACTTTAAATATGAAATATTAGTAATTAAATTAAAATCTAAAACGCTTAGAAAAACCCAAATTCATAATCAATCAATATGATTCTCTTTTATTTAATATACACGTGTTAATTAAATCTGACACGATCAGAAACAATTTGAGAACCAACTTACATTAAAAAATAAATGCAAGATATAACAATGAACTTCCATCTGACTGTCTAATATAACATCATACTGGCATACTACTTCTTAATTTTTTTGAACTTTTTATTTTAATAGTTCAGACCATTGTACTCCTAAAGTAGAATGCTTAAATAAAAAAAGGATAAATTATATTAAATTAAATCAATTTAAGAAATAGAAACAAAATTTCAATGATATAATTAGACAAACAAATAAAAGTACATTGATATTTATTGCATTTAGCCCAATTAGGGGCTAAATGCAAGAGATAACAATTGGACTAATTGCAAAAAATAGTAATGTACTACTATTTTTTTGTCTAATATATCACCATACTTTCATTTCTCATTCTTAACTGTTTAAATTTCATTTTAATGTTTTTTCTTTTTAAACATTGTATTTTTAAAATACAATGCTTAATTAAGGAAAGGAAAGAAAAAATAAAACAAACTTCAAAAAAAGTTGACAATTAGAAACGAAAGTTAGATTCTATAATTACACAAACAAATGAAAAGACATTTCATGAGCCCAATCAAGGGCTAAATTCTAGGTATAGAAATGTACTTCCATTTTTATCTAATGTAGTATCATACTTTTAAAGATAAAATCCGAAAAGAAAAAAAAAACCATGTTTTTGTTACAACAGTCCCAAGTCATAGTAACTAAACCCATGCATGCGGAGGATAACATTTTTAATAAAAATTTCAAGTTTTAAAATTTTAAGAAAAAAAAATCATATAAGGTAAATAAACTCTAATTTCACCGATGTAAATCTTTCTTTATCTAAAAATAGCACCTCCATTTGTGCCGTATAGGCAGTATTTATCAACAACAAAAAACATTTACACATCAGCACATGGTTTCTTAATTTCTGGAAAAACCTTCCGGATGCATACATGAATCATCTAAATAGGACAAAATGTTTTTGTTCTTATAATCACTAATATGTCCAATAGATCCACTGGTATCCCATGAGGACTAAACACATCAGTTACCCTTTAAATACACTTTCAAATCGCTAAGTCAATAAATGTCTTAAATTCCCATTAATGATAAAAAAAAATAGGAAAATAAATTACCTGACACTGCATATCCCTCTATTTGTGACATAAATCACAATTGGAGATGATGAACTTTCCAAAGCACGATTCAAGTAAGAAAAATACTCCATGTCCAACATATGTACCTTTAAACATATTTTAAAGTAATCACTAAAAAAAGAGTTTCATAGAAAAGGTATATAAAAATACCTCATCGATGAATAAGATATCACAGACAACCTCTGCAACCCTTCATCAAGATAACGATTAACAACCTTAAAATAATAAAAACAAAATGTGATTCATTTAGAATTAAGAGGTCGGTTATAAAGAAATTAAATTCCTTATTGATTTATTGTAGTTATTTGTCTGTAATTTCAGATTTCTTAGCTTGATCTTTTGACCAATTAATGACAATATATACCTTGTCCACCTTGAAGGTGTAACATCCCGAAATTCAGGTAAAGCTATTTAACCCTTCCATTTTGTCAAGTTGTCAAGATTGGTCCCTTGAGAGAGTTCTTGTAGCAAATGAGTATGCTGGGCGTACTGGGGAGTACGCTGCGCGTACTCATGCGCTTAATTTGGACGCGGACTCGCCTGGGTACGCTGGGCGTCACGGGTCCAGCTGCAAACCCTAAATTTTTGGCTTGTGCATTATTTAAAGGATGCTAAGGCTCATTTCTCAGCCTCCATATCAGAGAGTGAAACCCTAAGAGAGAGCCTTCCATCGTCCTTAGCTTGAGTGTGTGTATTTTGGAGCTAAAAGTGTCTTGGTGTGTTAGTGAAGAAGAAGGAAAAGAGCTTGTGGAGGCTAGGGCTTGAAGTGCAAGTTTGGATCTGAGATCTTCAGAGAAAGGAGCTTCATCTAAAGGTATAAAGTTCAAAACTTTCCTCTTTATTTGGTTTAATGTTGCATGGACCATTTCTAGGGTTAAAAGTCCCAAAGGTGGAGACTTTATGAGTGTAATGTACTCCATGGACCTAGATCTGTCCCATTTCAGTGATATTTGTGTTATAGATCCATAAAAATTCCATCTTGGTCGTTGTTATGAGGTCATGCTTGAATTATGAGCTTTCTAGAGTTGGGAAATGGAATGTTATGGGTGTTAGTGACTTGTCCAGCCATGCACAGGCTTAAAGTGACCAACTTTATGGATTAAGAGGTTTAGAAATGGTCAGATCTAGAAGTTGGGCGTGGGACTTAACTGTTTAAGACCTCAAGAGCTTAGAGTCTGAAACTGGGAGTTACGCGGGGCGTAATCCCAGTACGCGCGGCGTAAGGGGTCGCGCACCCCGTTTCTGTGAGGTCGCCGGGTACGCCCAGCGTACAGGTTCGGTACGCGCAGCGTAACCCGGAGAGTTGACTTTTGTTGACTTTTAGGGTTTGGTCAACATTTGGGTCTTTGAGCCATGAGAGGGGTAAAATGGTCTTTTACCCTTCTGAGAGTGCTAAGAGAGGGAACAGTCTAGCCTTGAGAGTTGTATTGATTAGAGTGCTTATTCCATGTTATTAGGCGGAGGCTAGAGCAGATTTTACCGAGTTCGAGATTACCGAGTTACCCGAGGTGAGTCTTCTCACTAGACATTACCTAGAGTGGTATTTATGTGTAGACCAGAGGGTCTTGTGTGCTATGTGTATGTATGAGATTATGTGCATTGTGTTATATGTATGCTATGTGTTGAACAGACCGGGCCGGAGGGCCCAACGATATAGACCGGACTGAAGGGTCCAACGACACAGACTGGACCGAAGGGTCCGACGAGCTATGACCGGACCAGAGGGTCCAACGAGCTACGGGACTGGGGGGTCCCGCTGAGACACATCGACCGAAGGGTCGTATTATAGCCTCGAGTGGCATATGTGTTGTATGTGGTATTTTGGGGAACTCACTAAGCATTTATGCTTACAGTTGTTGTGTTATGTGTTTCAGGTACTAGCGAGGATCGCGGGAAGGCGTCGGCATGACCCATACACACTTGTGGAGTTTATGTTATTGAGATTCTGGAGACATACTTTGTTATGACACAGTGATACATTATGTTTTGTGATTTTTCATGTGATTGAAAGTATGATTTAAAAATGAAAAAATGTTTTGAAAAATTACGTCGTTATAAGTTGGTATCAGAGCCTTGGTTTGAGGGATTCAGGTGCATCTTCGGATGAATCTGAAC